GTGTTTCTCCGCTGTCCCCGGACGGCTTTTGAAGGCAGGCGGGGGGGGAGCAAAGACTTTCGCCCCCCGCCCGCCTTCAGAAGAGGTCCTGGACCTCTTCTGAAGGCGGGTGGGGGGCAAAAGTCTTTGTCCCCCCTGCCTGCCTTCCCAGGGGCTTTTAAATCGCCCCGGACAGCGGAGAAGTCCTCCGCTGTCCCGGGCGATTTTAAAATGCTGCCTGCCAGCATTTTAAGATCGCCCCGGACAGCGTAGAAAGTCCTCCGCTGTCCCGGGGTTTTTTTAAAATGCTGGGGTGGGAAGAAAAGCCCTTGTCCCCCCCCCAGCCTTCAGAAGAGGTCGGGGGACAGACTGTCCCCGGACCTGGTCTGAAGGCGGTTTCCATAGGAACGCATTAATTGATTTTCAATGCATTCCTATGGGAAACCGTGCATCGCAAGACGAAAAACTCGCAAGACGAAGAGACTTGCGGAACGAATTAATTTCGTCTTGCGAGGCACCACTGTACTTTTCTGCCTCAATGTCAGGTACTCCGGATCATTTACAACAGGATGACAGCACAATTAACAATATTCAGTAAAAGAACTGAAACATTCAAAAATACAAGAAAAAAATAATTAGTCATAGATATGCATGAGATCCTAATAAATAAAGTAATGTTTGAAGCTTTGGGATTTTTGATCTAATATGGAGCTTAAAGATTAATCTTCTCTACTTTATAAGACACTATTGAACCTACAAATGGGCAATGGGCAGAATCTTAAAAGAGTTGTGGAAAGGAGATTTTAGGCCAACAAATTGATGAACACAAGTGGGGTTCTATATGATCTAAACCAACACTGCACACCATTTTGGCTAAACTGTAGGAAGTCATTATAAGATGCCCCTGATGCCCCTATGCTTTTTAAGAAGTTAGCTACTGCATTTTTCCGTGAATAAGACTAGGTTTTTTTTCTTCTAAAAATTAATGTCAAAAATTAGGGGGCATCTTATACACGGATAATGTCTCCCCCCATTTTCTTAAATCTGAGTCCCCCCAAAATAGGGGGTGTTTTATACATGGCGGTGTCTTATAGACAGAAAAATACGGTAATCTCTCACCCTTATGCTGGAGAGGATGTAAGCTTAAAGGCACATTCTTCCACATGTGGGGGGAGTGTCTCTTAAAGATTTCTGCACCCATTTCCCCCCACAATTATCCACCATTATAGGGCAACATCTTGTACGCAATCCCATGTTAGCCCTGCTGTCAATGGGAAATGATATCAACCCAAATGTTAAACATAAAGAGGCAAATATTTGCTTCCAATTGTAATAAACACCCCCTCCCACCACAGAAACTTAGACCCGATATGTGTGTAATATAGCACATATGGAACACTTAACTCACCTTTGGAGAGTGATAAGAGGTTGGTTTTCAATGTATTACTGTTTATTAACAGTACAGTAACCTCCCTTTAGTCTCAGTCGCAGCAGCCAGTAGATAAATTATCTTAATACTTTAAATAAAGTATACTCTAATTTACATGATTTTACAAGTTTGTTTAGATGTCGCGTGGATGACTTCACATAAGACTTAATATCTGTACATATATCTGTCTTGGAAGACAACGGTTTGTGTTTGGTAATTTATTTTTAAATGTTTCAATAAAGTTTGCAAGTAAAAAAAAAAAACAATGTCCGTAAATAAAAAGGACATCAAGAAGAGAGGGAATTGGATCTCCTTGGTTTATGACATTCCGAGCCTAAGTACAGCAAAAGAGGAGGTGCTATCACATGTTCCCACAAATCAAGCCTCGGTTATCAGCAAGATAGTCAGAAGGCCTCCCTAGATGATCTCCAAAATCAGCCAGGTTCATACTGTAGAGCAGGAGTGGCTAAACATTTTTTTGGTTTGAGGGTCATATTGATGGTCAGCCCACCTCCTTAAGAGCCACATGCCAGCACTGGGAATGGCTAATTTGTATGTGTGTGAATCTCTCTTTATCTCTCTCTCTCTCTCTCTCCCACCCACACCCACATATATGCATATTCACCACACATATACAATGCACACAGTCACCAGGCATGAAGGCACACTCTGCCTCTCTCACAAATGCACATTCTCAAACATGCATTCTCACAATAAACATGTGTAAAGACAAGACACACACAACCAGGATTTCCAGCCCTCCACACTCCAGGGCAGTGAAAACAGTACTCTGCATAAATCATTATTTTTTTATTTCTTTTTAAATAGATCTGTTTATTTGCAAATACAAAAAGAAAAAAGGTAGGCGAGATAACAGCCTTTTCAGCTGACATCATATTTATTTTTTAAAATAATTTATTATTTTTACTCCGCCCATCTGGCTGGGTTTCCCAGCCACAATAATAATATTCCATCAATTCTTATTTAAATATACAGATTAATATAAGCAATCCATATGCCCAAATAGATATTTAAACCATGTGTTCAGATAAGCACCATCACAACGTCTGCTACTGTCCTGCAACACTTTGGAGTCTCAATTTCTTTTATTCCAACAGCATGAGAAGAAAATAAGCCCCTCAAGCATAAGGTAGGGATTTCAAGATTTGCCCAAAAATCTAGTTTATTTATTTATTTTATTTCTGACACTTATATAGTTAAGGTACCCTGACGGTACGGGCCAGTCTTGACAGACTCTAGGGTTGTGCGCTCATCTCACTCTAGAGGCCGGGAGCCAGCGCTGTCCGAAGACACTTCCGGGTCACGTGACCAGCGTGACGAAGCTGCTCTGGCGAGCCAGCGCAGCACACGGAAACGCCGTTTACCTTCCCGCTAGTAAGCGGTCCCTATTTATCTACTTGCACCCGGGGGTGCTTTCGAACTGCTAGGTTGGCAGGCGCTGGGACCGAGCAATGGGAGCACACCCCGCCGCGGGGATTCGAACCGCCGACCATGCGATCGGCAAAGTCCTAGTCGCTGAGGTTTTACCCACAGCGCCACCCGCGTCCACTTATATAGTTACCCAGTAACAATTGTATGGATGATAATTCCATGATAATTCCATGCTGATAAAACTCTTAGGGGTCAGGTAATAGCATTCTGGGACCTACTCTGTGCTTTCTATAGATTTTATATTCTAGCACATTGCATCATGTATTATAAATTGGTAGGATTTAAATAACTACCAACTGACATGTTTAATTAGAAGAGATAATTGAGTTTCTAAAAATACATTAGTATCCGGTAGATTAAATCAAATTCAACCATCCATCATGTTTTAATAGTCTGAAAAGTGCCTTAAGTATTACGCTAATGGTTTCCTTCTGTTGGCCATGCTTTGACTGTGTGCAGTGACTAGAGCTGCCATTTATTTATCTATTTATTACATTTATTTGGCACTTCTTCACTAGAGTGTCTCAAAGTGACTTAAAAAGTAAGAATAAAAATAACATTCTACTGCGACTGATCCAACCCACCACATTAAAACGATTAGCACAAAATGGTGCCACAGACATACCAAATTATCCCTTAGGGCCAAAGGCCTGGGAGAATAAAAATGGTTTTGCCTGGCAGCTAAAAACGCAATGGTGTTGCCAGCTGTTCCTCCTTGAGGAGAGTATTCCACAGTGGGGAGCCACTACTGAAAAAGGCCTGTTATCACGTCATCGCTCTCCCCACCTCCCTTCAGAGGGGCACCCAGAGAAGGGCCCTCAGATGATGAATGCAGGGTTCATGTGGAGAGAGGCAGATGGATGGAGTAGTGGAGATGCAATGAAAGCAGAAAAATATGCTTTCTCCACTGCTTTCAATGCTACCAAATCGACATGAAAATGAGCGCTTACTAGCATTTGGTTCCATTTGTCTGGAGTTTCCTTCCACTTGCATTCAAGCCTTCTCTGGGCTTGCTTTATTGCCCTAAACCATGGGTAGGCAAACTAAGGCCGGATCCAGCCCAGTCGCCTTCTAAATCCGGTCCGTGGACGGTCCGTAAATCAGCGTGTTTTTACACGAGTAGTGTTAAGTTGTGGGCGAACATATCAGACGACACAGCGATTCTTCCAAAGCAGCTCTTTATTTGTAAGATGGAACAGAACTGACTGAGGAACTCAGTCAGCCTGCTTATATAGAGCTCCAGAACAATGTAACTGTTGCCATTTTCTAAAACTATCCAATCACTGAACGTCACTTTCGATCCTTCATTTGCATGCAAACTATCCAATCACTGAACGTCACTTTCGATCCTTCATTTGCATAACTATCTACAGTATCCCCCTGCTGGCCCAGGGTGAGAACTTCAGTACATAACAAGTAGAATGTGTGCTTTTATTTAAAATGCATCTCTGAGTTATTTGTGGGGCCGGCCTGGTGTTTTTACATGAGTAGAATGTGTGCTTTTATTTAAAATGCATCTCTGGGTTATTTGTGGGACATAGGAATTTGTTCATTCCCCCCCCCCAAATATAGTCCGGCCCCCCACAAGGTCTGAGGGACAGTGGACCAGCCCCCTGCTGAAAATTTTTTGCTGTCCCCTGCCCTAAACTCTGGGAGATATTCTCTGCCTGAAATCCTGGAACGTTGCTGCCCGCGTAGACAATGAAGTACTGAGCAAAACGGACCAGTGGTTTGACTCACTATAAGGCAGTTGCCCATGTTCCTATGATTCCTATGTTCCTATGATTATCTTCTGAAGAGAAACTAGAGATGTTTGGATTTAATTTTTACAAATTCCAGTATGAGCTGGCCTGATTCGCCCTTCCCAAACTAATATGCAAATCAAATTTTCTGACTATTGCAACATAATTCTTGACTTAGAAGGCATCAAAATCCTTATTTTTTGAAATTAAAAATGAAGAAAAGACATTTTAAAATATGTATTTAAATTCAAATTTTCATACTTTTCTTTTTTGTTAATTAGTGTAAAAGTGACACAGACTGGAAATAGATCGTCCTGTATATCCTCAAGAGAAGCACTTTAAGATAGTCACAATATTAGAGTTTCCTTGTGCTTTCTCATCATCAGCACTCCTGAACATCAGAAATGGTGGTCCATCTAGTCTAATGTTCTATTTTCAGCTGTGGCTAGTCATAACCTTCATGATTCCTGTTCTGTTCACATTATATCCTAATTGTGGATATGCCTGTTCTATGTCTATGAAGTGGGGGCAGGAATTAGGCAGGACAAAAGACACTAACTATGGTTTCTCTGCTGCTGCTTTATCAGTGGCTGCTATTGTATGTTGCAGAGGAAATTGCAGGTATTTGTGCAGTAAGTGCATATTCCATTTAGAGTTGCTGCTGCTGCGTCTTTACTAGCAGCTAAAAATGATAAAGATGAAACATTTGCTGGTTTGATGTAAAGGGGAAATTCCACCTGCCTAATTTCTCTGCATTGGATGCAGTGTCAGGGTTGATAAAACAGTGGCAAACTTAATACCATTACAAAACATTTGTTCTTAAAAGGTGCATGTATGCACTTCTGGGCTAAACCCAAATCTGCACGAATTAAGTCACTTTGGATTCAGTTCCAGGGTCCTATTGATGGACGCACACAGCAGGTTCAGAACATTTGGTGTTCTAAGTCCCAAGATGAATTGCATAGCAACTAGGACTTTTGTGTTCTTTTAATTTTTATTTGAATTTGAAAGTTGATCTAATGACAGCTGAGTAGTGTTGCTAAGTCCAGTCCTTGAGAGGGTTCCAGTAAAAGTTGCACTGAAGAGAACATTTCCTCCAGGTGGGTTTTTCTACGGCTGTACCACTGAGATAAGAAGAAAATGCATTAATATGACTGGATGCAATGGATGACAGTATTCTTGTACCTTTAATATTTGGTCATAAAGGGAGCCCATTTCAGATTGTCATACAAATAATTACTGTTAGGCAGGCAGGCAGGCAAAACATCTCGATACCTGCTGAAATTCCTTCGCCATGGTACAATGTACAGGTAATGATGTAGCAGGTGGGAAAGATTTGACTGTTCTTTTTCTTTTGCTTTAGTTTGTTGCCCAGCCAAACTGCCAACAACTGCTTGCCTCTCGCTGGTATGATGAGTTCCCTGGCTGGAGGAGGCGCCACTGGGCCGTGAAGATGTTGACTTGCGTCGTCATTGGATTTCTTTTCCCCGTCTTCTCTATCTGCTACCTGATAGCTCCCAAGAGCCCACTGGGTCTGTTCATCAGGAAGCCATTCATCAAATTTATCTGCCATACTGCATCCTACTTGACTTTCTTGTTCCTTCTGCTGCTTGCCTCTCAGCACATTGACAGGTCAGATCTGAACATGCAGGGACCTCCACCAACCATCGTCGAATGGATGATATTACCGTGGGTCCTGGGTAAATGTATTAGTAAAGAAAATTCAGTTGACTTGCATAACTCTTCCATAATTGTCTAGCATTGCCTAGCATATACAGCAGGGCATTGTAGTTTATTCTATGATTCTATTATAAACTAGTTCAGTAATCTATCCGCAACCCATCTAGGTCAATAACAGAAAATTCCATTTAAGATTAAGGAATTTTTAAGGAAAGGCATTTCAACTTTAATTTGATTTCAGAATTAAAATTACTTTAAAATTAATATGTTGAATGGTGGGCAGTCAGATCCAGATGCTTTTCTCCACTTGGACAAACAGGCTAAATTAGCATTTTTGCTCTAGATTTTAAAAATGGGAAATGATGTGGCTTAAAAAAAAACAACCAACCATATGGGGAGAGGGGGAATCAGAAACAAAGTTCCACCATTCCAGTAGGGAAAACACAAAATAGATCATTATGCTTCATTGCCCAGCAGTAAATTGCATAGCAAAGGTCTGGGCTTCTTCCACCATTTTAATGGAAGTTCAGTGGTGCCTCGCAAGACGAAATTAATTCGTTCCGCGAGTTTTGTCGTCTTGCGATTTTTTTCGTCTTGCGAAGCACGGTGTCGGAAAAGTTTTGGAAAAGCTTCAAAAATACCAAAGTCTTCAAAAACCTCAAAAAAGGCTACCACACCGCGTGCTATGAGTTGCTCCTCGAAGTCAAGTCGCAACTGTATTAACGGTGTTAAGAAAAAGGAAACAAACTTGCAAGACGTTTCCGTCTTGCGAAGCAAGCCCATAGGGAAAATCGTCTTGCGAAGCAGCTCAAAAAACAAAAAACCCTTTCGTCTTGCGAGTTTTCCGTCTTGCGAGGCATTCGTCTTGCGAGGTACCACTGTTCTTCAGTCTTAATAGAAAACCATATAAATAAGAATCTGCACCCATAACTCATATTTTTTTCCACTGAAGAGCCAATAACTGACTGATTTGCGGCAAAGTCTGATTTTTTGACATTGCATTTTGGGCCATTTTCTTGAGACTGTTACTGCATATGCTCTAATTTATTAGGGACAGTCCCTGTTTTCAGGCAGCTTTCTGGGACACCTAATTGTCCCTGTTTTGATACATCTCTATGTTCCCTCTATTTTTTCCTTAGTCAGTTGCATTTTGTGCCTAGTGCACATACATATCAGGGTGCATGCAATGAACACTAAGGCTGCAATCCTAACACCTGATGTTGATCAGTAGAAAGGTAGACTACAGTACAGGCCCCTCTCTGCTGGCCTTTGATGATGGATAGGAGTGCCACTGATGTGGGGCGGGGCCCCTATCTCAGTAAGCTACCAGCAGAAGCAAATGGAGATCCCCAAAACAGGGCATTTCAAGGCAAGGCACTAGAGATTCCCCCAAGGGGGCTGATTCTCGGCCCCCTCAGCTACATCACTCCTAGAACTGGCACTGCATCATCTCGGCCCCCTCAGCTACATCACTCCTAGAACTGGCAGCTTGTTCTTAACAGAACAAGCTGCCGTGCTTGCTGTTAGGATTATAGTCATCTGAAAGCAACAGACATACATCAGCGTGGTGTATGTGTGCAAATTGGGCTGTGCAATAGGAGAGAGGAGATGGCATGGAAATGGGGGTGATTTAAGAAGAATGAGGAAGGTAGAGGGGGAAAGCGAGTGGAGGTGAAAATGTGGGGTGCAAAGGGGGTTGCACAAAACGAGGGAGTAGAAGGCATGGGAAAGGGTTAAAGATGAAAGCAGGAACATGAAAGTGTCTGAAATATGGGAGGTGATGGTGACTTCTTAGCTGGGTGGAAGATGATAAGGATGTTTAGTAGTTGCAAGGTAGGAGGAAGATGCAAGAGAAGTCACAGACATGGGGGCAAAGGTGGAAAACAGGTCCAGAGCAGGGCTGTAGGGCTGTTGGAGAAGTGGTTGCAGAAATGGAGTTGGTAAGGTGAAAAGTGAGTTTAGCAGTTGCCTTGGGTAGGAAGAAGAAGCTCTAGTGGGTTTATGTGAAGAAACCTGTGACTGGAGTGAGCAGGAATGCAGCCTCTAATATATTACGGTAATCATTCCTGTCATTATGCTCCTGGGATTCCCATCAGATCTTGAACAGTTTGACTTTATTCTAAAAGCAGTTTCAAAATGTTTGTTTCCAGTAAAGATGCTACCATTCTTCTTTGTAAATACCACTAAACATCTTGCGACATTCCCCTAAAATATTTGCTTGTGTCACTGACCTTAGTATTGAGACAATATAGGTTAATGTTTATTGGTTTTGCTAGATTACCGGAGATGAAGGGGAGAGAGAGGATTACCAGTAGAGCAAAAGATAGACTGTCAAACTCTGTGTTTTCATGCAAGTGCACATTAATAAGGTCCTGGCAAGTTTCTCTTTATAAATAAAAAACAACTAAAATCAGCCCCAGTTGGTTGCAGTTTTCAACAAAGTAGTTACATGGAAGGAAGTGCTGACCTCTCTTTACTCCTGGCCTTTTTCTGATCAGAATCTCCTCCAAGCTGCTTACCATCTCATATGTTCTTTTTCACCCACTGATTTCAATCAACAGAGGAGATTTAAGCATGCGCTTAACTTCCAAGTCCTTTTGCTGAATACATTTGGCATTATTATTTTGGCCCTGGCTGCAATGATTCCAGTTACTGCTATTCATGACAATCAAAAAGACCATTACTGTAGCAATGTTTTGGGAATGTGTGAATGTAATGGAGAAAAAGCTGGAATTTAAGGGCTCCTCCTTGAGAACTCCTAAATGTGCACAAAAATATATAACCAAATCCCATGTTGTGTTCACCCTGTCATCTTGAGTTATCGTATCTCTTTTGGGGAATTATATATGGCAGCAATATTCTGTAACTGGATGCTGAGTTCACATCCTACACTCTTGTGATGGCACAGGAAGTTGCCTATTCTTTAAAAAAAATGCAATAGGAGAATAGTTCTTTGCAGCAGGTCTGTGGCTGTTGTAAAATTCTAAGGGTATAGGATTTGATCCAAGTATTTTACTCTCCTGTGCCACCCACATCTAACCCATGTCTGCCCTGTTTTGGCCATTTCACCTGTATTTTTGGAGTGGCAGAGGTAGTGCATCTACCATGGTTGTCACCAAATCCTTTAGCCCCTCAGCTGAAGGATGTTCAGTACTGGATTACACCCTAAAAGGCTCTTTACGTTCTCTCCCTAAAACTATTATTTTCCAAGGTATATCAGCCACACTGAAATTTATTAGCTGCTTGAAATGTATCCTGATTTGTTCAAGCAAAGCTACCTGTATGCATAACATCTGATAAGTGTTTCCTATTAGCTGTTTCTCAGAATGAGTGTCTTAAATCAGTTACGAGTGCTATGGAAAACAAAAAGGTGGTGTTCGTTGCTATGAATAGTAATAAAACAATTATTTCCCAACAATAAATTTCACTTTAGGTGTCTGAGTTTTTCCTCACATTCAGTTCCTCTGAAGTGCCATTTAAACAGCAGGTGACCACTGGTGCTAAATTTCAGGAAGTGTTGTTTAAAGGTCAAAAATCAAAGTTTGAAAAGCAGTTATAAATTTGAACCTGAATTCACAGCCTGCCAAGTTCAGAGTAATTCTTCTCCCCGTTGCCTTTAGGCTGCAGTCAGTGGAACCAAAGTACATGGTGAGCAGAATAGTAACCATTGTTGCTGCAGCTCCTGTTCTCTTCCGTGGGACTGCACTGGAAATTTTCCCATTGATTATGCCATATATATATACATATTGAAAACGTGAATCACAAATGAAAAATAACAATATATGTGACTAATAGATTGTAATGGTTATTACGGTTGTAGTTGAGCATGCTTAAAATGTATTGTGCTTTTATTTCATTTTAAGCAAATAAACACAACAGCTTAAGCAATTCATACAACTAACTTATATCACTGCTTTCTATATTTGCAGGGTTTATCTGGGGTGAAATTAAACAAATGTGGGATGGCGGCCTGCAGGATTATATTCATGACTGGTGGAACCTGATGGATTTTGTAATGAACTCATTGTACCTGGCAACAATATCTTTAAAAATTGTTGCATTTTCAAAGGTAATCAAGACATCTATTCACATTGTGAATATACTGTATACTTGACATTTACTTTGAATGTGATTTTATTGTTGTTTTCCCTTTTTCAAAATCTGTTCTCTTTATATTGCCTTTCGTTGTTATATTGCCTTTCGTCAGTAATCAGTAACTTGGGGATAAGAGATAATCATAAACAAAAGTTTTGGCTCATTGTGGAAAATGCCCATTCTGAATTAGAATTTTTGGAGTGAACAAATAGGACAAAAGCAAAATGGAAATTCACTGTTAAGGAATTCAAATGTCACAATTTCCTGAATAATTTCTGTTGATTAGTGAAATAAAATCAGATCAGGGAGTATCTCCCAAACAACATACCTGAACTCTCCAGGGGAGAGCAATCCCAACAAGAACAGGAAATCTACTCATTTCCCAAACTCAAGAGCCTGCAAGGCACATCTTGACTGGATTCAATTTCAGGTTAAACTTCATAGGTATCTGAGACCAGTAAAATCCAGCCTGCTTGTGGAGATGAATTATTTTATGTACCAGTTCAGTTCCATTCCTGATGTCTCACTCGCTGGATCATCACCTTGTTGTGGTGAATGGGCTTGCACGTTCCTATGACCCTTTGAACGAAGCCATCGGGAATCTCGTATTCCCAGCAGGGTCACCCAAGGCAGTAAGGTCAAAGGGAGACAAGGAATGATCCAAGAAGTCCTCAGCGGCAGAACAGGCAGAAGATAACATGTGGTATGTTACAATGGCTGTGAAGGCGGATAAAGGCTGCAGCAGATAAGAACCTACTGGTTGTTGTGATACTCATGCCATTGGAAGAAAGCCTTACTGTGAATACTGCAACATAAAACAAATTCATGCACAGGCGTCTTCCAAAAGCCCATCCCGGACCCAAAGAAGTCCCATGGCAATGGGCAAATGGTAACAGGGGCAGGACTGTGAAATCTGGAAGCCCCTCGTCATGAACCGGCACATGGGCAGTGAATACAGATTCAGTCGTTCCGACTCAAGGAATGAGGCAGTTGAGTAGCTCAGCAGCTGTATCCATGACTGAGCAGTCCTATTTAGGAACCACTCTGCTGGCTCCAAAACGAGGGAGGGGCTAGAAAAGGTGCCCTAAACATAGTCTGCCACCATTTTTCTCTGGCTGGATTACTGCGCCCAGTGGGGTCACCATCCAGTGGTCGTAAAAGACAATTGAACTTTGGAACATGGATTATACAGACTTTGTTGGATAGCACAGATAATGAGTGTCCTGAACACAGGATTGCCATCATCGCAAGAGATTTGTGATGTTTTAACTTCGATTTTGCAGCGTAGTCTAGGTGATGTTTTAGAAATTTATTTAGAGACTGCTCTCTCTTTCTCAATGACTGTAGAGTGTGACATGTCAAAATATCTACCTAGTTCTGGCCAGTTAGCTTTTGTGAAGAAGGTGTATATTCTGGAAGATGCATATTCAGAAACAAAACACAGAGTAACTATCTGTGGGGAATTTCCAGGGGAGTGGTCTGGTCACAGTTACAGGGGAAGGACTGTTCATCTGTTCAGAATATAGGGTACCTCACAAAATATTGTTTTTAAATGTGTTGGAAGCCACCCACAGTGGCTGGGGCAACCCAGTCAGATGGGCAGGGTACAAATTATTATTATTATTATTATTATTATTATTATTATTATTATTATTATTGCAATGGTACCTTGGTTCTCAAACTTAACCTGTTCCAGAAGTCCATTCCAAAACCAAAGCGTTCCAAAACCAAGGTGCGCTTTCCCATAGAAAGTAATGCAAAATGGATTAATCCATTCCAGACTTTTAGAAACAGCCCCTAAAACAGCAATTTAACATGAATTTTACTATCTAACGAGACCATTGATCCATAAAATGAAAGCAAGAAACAATGTACTGTAGTAACACAATCAATCAATCAGTAGCTGAACTGGGTTCCACACAGTCACAAAAACGAAACAAAAAGCCACAGAAACAAACACGCAAAATAAATAGCAAAAACCGACAGACCTCAGTGTAACACTCAAAACGGATGTGTGGCACTCAAATCGGAAGCATAACACTCAAAATGGAGCCAAGTTCAGCTTCCGAAAAAAGTTTGCAAACCGGAACCCTTACTTCTGGGTCTGCAGTGTTTGGGTTCCAAGTTGTTTGAGTACCAAGGCTGTATTCTCAAAAGGATTGTGAAGCAGCAAATGAAAGGAGTCATATGTAACAATTACTCATTGAGGGTCTGTCTTGGAAGAGTATGGTCTTGCTGAAATGAAAAGTGATTGCAGAACATAATGGTTTTTGTATTGTTGGGGAAAGACCTTGCTAATTTTGCATAACTCTATTGTTTTCAGTACAGTGGGCTGCTCCCAAGACAGAGCTGGGATATGTGGCACCCAACACTGGTGGCTGAGGCACTGTTTGCTATTGCAAACATCTTTAGTTCTCTGCGCCTGATCTCATTATTCACTGCAAATTCTCATCTGGGACCATTGCAGATCTCTCTTGGAAGAATGTTACTGGACATTTTAAAGTTTCTTTTCATCTACTGTCTTGTGCTGCTAGCTTTTGCAAATGGACTTAACCAGCTATATTTCTATTATGAAACAAATGATGCCAATCGCTGTAAAGGGATTCGGTGTGAAAATCAGAATAATGCATTTTCAACGTAAGTTAGCATTTCCTACTTAAATGATTCATAGTATTCTTTTTGTATTGCACAGTGCTCCATGTTGATTTGTTGCTAAAGAGTTGTCTAGGGCGGCAAACTGATTTCATTTTAAGGAAGGAATTTAAATGCACAACACGCAAGGCAACAAACTGATACTTAAAGGTTTGGTCATAACATTGACCAAAACCTATTGTTTGACAACAATAATAATGTGAGCTAGACTACGTCAAAACTGTCTGGTGGCTAATTCTCTGCTGGAGAGACCAGTATGATCAGTGGTCAGGGATGATGGGGGTTGTAGTTAGAAACACCTGGAGATCACAGAGTTGGGGAAGGATGTTTTAAAATGTTATGATAGCTTGTACAGATGATGAATTAGGCTTCCTTTGGACACAATGAGGTTGCAGAGGAAACATAACACATTTTCCGTTCCTATAATTGCTGCTGCTTAACCACTCTTCATTTCATTGGTGGAAAACAGAAGGGGCCATAAGTACACTTTCCAGAACCAAAAGGGACTTCTGCAAATTTCAGGGAAGGGATGGAATTTACCTCTGGAAGCATTAATCAAAAATGATTACCTTTCATTTTGATTAATTACTGCCAATTCAGTGATCAGTAACTTGGGGGTAAGAGATATTCCTAAACAAAAGTTTCGGAATATGTGGTCACAGTTTTGCTGCCAGGACACTGTTGAATGATGCTGCGTCACACTGTGGGTGGGGGCTTCTGGAAGAAAAACGGTAGTTGCCCCAGAAAAGCAAAGTCTGCCCCATAAATTTCCTTGATGTGATACTAGGTCATGACATAGTGTGCAGCAGATTTTCTTGAGATGGGTGGAAATGACAGCCACAGGAAGGGATATTGCTGCTGCTGCTGCTGCTGCTGCTGCCACACACACACACACACACACACAAAAGATGAAGGCACCCACAAGCCTATCTGAGCCAAAAGAGTTCAAGTGAGAAATTCCAGCTCAGTCTTACATAGGAATAGGCATTGTTGGATTCTTGTGGGGAATATAGCACTATATTAAATGCTGTCTGGGAAAGCATCAGAAAAGGTGCTCAAAATGATCAAGAGTGATTCCCTATGAATAAATGTTACAGCATTTAGGACTCCTTAGTTTAGAGAAAAGAAGAACAAGAGGTGAGATGATAGAAATTTATGCAACTATGCATGGCTTGGAGAAAGTGGCTAGAGAGGGGGGGGGGAAATCTCCCACTGTCATCTCACTAAAACCTATGGAAATCTCATGAAGCTGAATGCTGGAAAATTCAGGACAGATAAAATAAGGTACAGTGGTACTTCGATTTTTGAACGTAATCTGTTTTGGAAGACCTTTCGAGTTCTGAAACGTTGAAAAACTGAAAACTCAATAGCCAACAGCTAGGCCTCAGGATCTTGCACTCAGTGGAAGCCATGTGATATGTTCGACTTCCGAGGCTTGTTCAAAAACCGAAATGTTTGTCAGCAGAGACATTTGAAAACCGAGGTACCACTGTACTTCTTCATACAACACATAGTTAAACTATGGAACTCGCTTCAATGGGAGGCAGTCATGGTCACTGATTTAGATGGCTTTAAACAAAGATTAGACAAATTCCTGGAGGAGAAGGCTATTGATGACTACTAGCCACGATGGTTTGTGCTGTCCTCCATGACCAGAGGCAGTAATGCTTCTGAATACCAGTTTCTGGATACCACATGAGGGGAGAGGGTTCTTGTCCTCAAATCCTTCTTGTGGGCTCCCCACAGGCATGTGGTTGACCACTGTGAGAGCAGGATTCTGTAGACCAGGAGCGTCCAACAGGTCAATCGCGATTTACTGGTCGATCGCTTAGTGTCCCTGGTCAATCCTGGGACCCCGATTGCCCCCCTAAAAAAAGCTGAACACTGCCAGTTTTTTTATAGTGGGAGTAGATCGCAGCCTCTTGGAAGTTTGGCCTGATCCAGCAGGCTTTGCTTATATTCTTATGACTCATACCTTTAATGCTGCTAAAAAAAAACAACCCAGATGTGAAAGAATCAGTACCAAAAATTTGACTGAGGAAATGTAATAGGAGATCTAGACGTTATGATGGAATGGAGCTGCCACCCAAAGTGACAGCATTGTTTCAAGTTATTCCTCTCTGTAACATGCAGCAAAACTTACATCATGTACAGATGCATTCTCATCCTGTGCGCTTTCCTGCATGTAGGCAGCATAATTGGCTGCAGTAGCTGGGGAGATACAAAGCATGATGATGTCAGCACATATATAAGTACGGGGGGGGGACTTCAGTTGGGGGTGATGTTTTTCAGCAGCAGCTCAGTGTTTATTTGTAACATCTAGTTTCACCCTAATTGCAGTACTGAACTGCAAGCCCCAATTTGCATTTCAATACCTAATCTCGTGCCATGTAAAAGCCACCAAGTCCTATATAGCTGCACTGTTTCCACTGGTACCAATGTGCCCTTAGGATGCTATGCCAGGGACGATAGATAGCCTGCCCCACCCTCCCTCTTCGCTATTTCCCTGTTGTCCAAAATCCCTTTATGATCCATTGAGGCTTTGCAAGAGGACCTGATTTCCCCATGTGCTAATCAGTGTTCGAATCCCAGTGAGCACAGCCTAGAACTGGGCTATAACTTAATTGCATTTAAATGTCTCATTTGCTGTTTTAAGTTTAAAGGTTTTAATTAAAGTTTGGGGTGATGATGTAGTACCGTATTTTTCGCTCTATAACACGCACCTGACCATAACACGCACATCGTTTTTAGAGGAGGAAAACAAGGGAAAAAATTCTGAATGAAACAGTGGATGTATCATTTTTGTGCTTCATGCTGTGGCCACAGACATGTGATCTGATGGTGAATTTGGGGTAGCTCAATGCAAAGATCCTGAGGATCCATGTGGATCCATGCTTTTTAACCACATTTTTGCACCATTGCAGCCCCAGGCAACAGTGGGTGTGTGATTTTTGGGGGGCAGGCTGCTATGTGATCTGATGGTGAATTTGGGGTGGCCCAATCCAAAGATCCTGAGGATCCATGTGGATCCATGCTTTGTAACTACATTTTAAGTGGGGAGTGAAGGAAAAACACAGAAGGGACAAGAGAGCGGTGTGCAGAGAAGCAGCTGGCTAAGAAAGCAGGAGAGGGATTTTACGGGAGGGAAGAAAGAAAGGCAAATGTTTCCACAAACCGAAGCCAGCTTTCTCTTTCCTCCTGCATGTTTTCTGGCTGCCTGAGAGGAGCACGGAGAGGAATTAGAAGGAAAGACCTCTGCTTTCCCCTCTGCTTGCCTGGAGGGGAGGGGATTTGCCTGCTCTTTGTTCCGTTTGAGCAAACACAGCAACGAAACAGAGGAGGGTGGGCAGTAAGACCCTGAGGCAGAATGCAGGAAAGCTGCCACTTCCTCTTTTCAGGTTTCCCTCTCGGACACAACGCACGATTGATTTTTGCTGATTTTTGTTCCTGCGCTCCCCTAATCGGCTCCAGGGACCCCCCCCCCCCACATTCGCTCCATAACACGCACAGACATTTCCCCTTCCTTTTTAGGAGAAAAAATCTGCGTGTAATAGAGAGAAAAATACGGTATTTAAAACAAATGAGATGCTTCCGTTTTCTTTAAGACTTTCCCTTTTCTTTCTTTCTTTTTTTGCAGTTTGTTTGAAACTCTCCAGTCACTGTTTTGGTCCGTGTTTGGGCTCATCAACCTTTATGTGACCAATGTAGACGCACGGCATGAATTCACTGAGTTTGTTGGGGCTACCATGTTTGGGACCTACAATGTCATCTCTCTGGTCGTCCTTCTCAACATGTTGATAGCTATGATGAACAATTCCTATCAGCTCATTGCTGTCAGTTCCTTGGTTTGATTCTTGTTCACTTTGAAAGCCGTATCTGTCAGTTGACCAAAATTCCAGCTGTTTGAGAACAATAATCCTGTGCTTACAAAATTAGGTTCCCTAGAATGTGTTCTAGCCTCCAAAGAAGCAGAAATCAGCTACCTGAGCATTCTAGCAGGAATAATTTTTCACCAGGTGCAAAATTAAATAAGCCTGGCTTTGCATACCATTTGGTATTGAGCACCCAGCATCTCATACTTCAATCAGTATTCAACATTGGCGGACATATAAAGAACCTACTTTTCTAAGCAAGAAAGTTGAGATTTCTAGTTTTGCCAAATTATGCCAAAGTGTTACTGACTTGCTGTTCCTAGCCAGCCATCTTATTAGACCTATATTCTCTTATATACATTTGATTCTCTTCTAGATACTTCTCAGTTTCATCAACTTACATTCTTACTTTAATTTTTCCTTGTACTGAGAAGACCAAATCTGCCTGGGTCTTTCTATCTTCTTCCCATTATTCTCATTTCTGTTTTCCTTCATTTGTTCTTTCCTTTCCCCCTACATTCTTCCCCATACCATTCAGTTTGCTTTACTTATCGTACATTGAACACACCTACTTTTGTCCTACTTCTTTCTTTACTTTTAACTGCTGTGTCCTTGTTTATTCACTATTTCCCATCCTCCTCTTCAGCAGAAAAGGCTCCTCAAGTAGCTTTACAGATCAGGTTTTGAAAAAGATATTCTCTGCCTTCAAGATCTATTTCCCCCTTTCCTAGAACCAAAGTAAAAGTTATGTGGAAAATCCATGATTTGATCTCCCCACATAATTGTGCTTCCCCTAAAAAAGCTACTGGGGATTCTAATTTGGTATAGAGTAACAACTTGAGGAGGTTCCTTTCCCATTGTAACACAGCCGTGATCCAAATTGGGTCCAATTTCTAGAATAAAAATAACTCAAACTTTTGCTTTAAAAGCAAAGGAGACAACATAAAAACCGTTTAGTCCATTAGGTAGTCCAACATACCTGATGGACTAAAATGATTTTCAGCACCTGTGTAAAAACAGGTAGAGAGGAAGAATTCCCGATCTCTCCAATAAGAAATGAAAACATGTTTCCATATTTCCTGTATTCAGGATCATGCAGACATTGAATGGAAATTTGCTCGAACAAAACTTTGGATGAGTTACTTCGAAGAAGGAGGGACTCTGCCTACTCCGTTTAATGTCATACCAAGTCCCAAATCTCTCTGGTACCTGATCAGATGGCTGTGGAGACAAGTGTTCAGGAAAAAAATCAGAAAGAAACCCGAAAGTTTTGGAACAATTGGGGTAAGCAAAAATTGCCGTTTTCCTCGCCACCTGCCTTTCTTTATGTTTAGGTGTTACCATAGATATTAGACACCAGCGTGTTGGGCAAAAGCCAGCCTGGGCACTACTATTTTTCATCTAGCTCATACTACTGTTGGGAGACAAGCACAAAATGAAAATATCCACCCCTTCCCTTTTCTGGTTAAGGGAAACCAGAACTGATCAGTGTTGCCTATCACCACCAAAATAATGAGTCAGGTGTTACGAATTTGGAAAGACATACCGTAACTTTGACATCTTAAAATAACTTCCCCCCAAACAATCCCCAATGATGGTTTTAATTACCAAAAAGCTATGGATGAATTAGTAATGTTTGTGCATGTGTATCATAGCAATACACACATTAGGGAATCAGGATTGGACATTCAATAGTAGCCTGAGTTAATTGCCATATAAAATGTGGAATTGCACACACGCATGCACACACAGCACAGCTGTAGTCCTGTGTCTCCCAAGTCACTATTTTGCCACTTTCTTTTCCCCATTGCAAAGGATATTTTTCCTAAATGTATATGTTAGGTGCAATGTAAGATGAGCAGTTAATATGCATAAGAACTGGCCATTGTGCTCATTCACTAGACCTCCTGAAGAATCTGCCCATGAAGAGGGAATTGTGCACCTTTCCTGGTCAATAAATGCAACCCCACCCCCCACCCCAATAGGCCTTTGGGAAAATTAACTAAATCTCTCCAACTGCATTTTGTGCACTCTCTGGCCATTCTGCACAATCCCCAACAGAACAAATATTTATCTGCAGACCTACCCCCTCTTTCCAATGCTTGGCTGGTCACAGGGAAGGCATGTTGTAAGCCATGTAAGATTAGGCAGTGGGGCCAGAAGCAGAGGGCAGGGGGGCACAGATTTCACACTTCTGAACAAGAGATAGATTAAAAAAGACAAGAGCATGTTTCTTGGAGGCTATGCATACTGACTGGAGAATGTACAAAATGCAGTTGATACATGCATGCTGGTTTATGTATATTGACCAGGAAATGAACACAATTCCTTCTTCATGGGCAGATTATATGCACATTCTCCATAAGGTCTTATGTCACCCCTAACACACACACACACACACACACACACACACACACACAATTTTCAGTCAAAGTTTCTCTTTATTGACTTCCTCATATCTGCTCTGCCTACACTGTCCAATTTCCATGAGCCAGGGCTAGATCCAAGAAGTACAGTGGTACCTCGGGTTACATACGCTTCAGGTTACATATGCTTCAGGTTACAGACTCCACTAACCCAGAAATAGTGCTTCAGGTTAAGAACTTTGCTTCAGGATGAGAACAGAAATCGTACTCCGGTGGCGCGGCAGCAGCAGGAGGCCCCATTAGCTAAAGTGGTGCTTCAGGTTAAGAACAGTTTCAGGTTAAGTACGGACCTCCAGAACGAATTAAGTACTTAACCCGAGGTACCACTGTAGTCTGAATGTGGCCTCTGTTTTCAAAATCCTAATGCCTTTCCTGGACACTGAAGTTGATCCATGTTCACTTCTACTCATCATTTTGCAGCTGTCTTAAGCAATCAATCTTCTCCTTCTTCTCTTCTTCTTTGGCCATCACTCTTAGCCAAGTATTACTTTCCTTGAAGTAAAAGGTTTAATTTGGGAGCTCTTGTGAATGGGTCTTTCCTGTAAAATTGACATGGACTTCACATTAAGATGTAACACCATTCATATTCTTCCTTGGATATTATCTTTTTAACAAAAGGTTTGCATCAAATTAAGCCTAATTTTGAGGCAGACCTTTTGTGGATGATTTTGGGCATGGTGGACATTTCTGCTATTCAGACATAATTGCTTTTCAAATATCATTCCAGCTAATTTATGTTCTTTATTTTCAGAGGCGTGCAGCTGATAATTTGAGAAGGCATAATCAGTATCAGGTAACCAATCTCATCTTTTACTTTTTTTACCAGAAGGAATTGAGCATTTTGCTCAGGATGTCACTCAAGATAGGATACCGATTTAGTTTCCAACATAGATATTGCCATTCCATTGTTGGATACAATTATTCGAGCTTATCTTCTGCCCAAAGCTGTCCAAGAATAAATGCTTCCAGTTGCAGCTGCAAACCTTAGTGCCTGGGGAATTTGCAAATGAATATACAGTGGTATCTTGGTACTCAAACGGCTTGGCTCCTGAATGCCACAAACCCATAGGTAAATGTTCTGGTTTGCGAACGTTTTTTGGAAGCCGAACATCCGACGCGGCTTCTGATTCAGTGCAGGGAGCTCCTGCAGCCAATCGGAAGCTGTACCTTGGTTTTCGAACCATTTCAGGAATCGAACGGACTCCCAGAACGGATTAAGTTTGAGAACCAAGGTACCACTGTATATGCAGGTGCACATCTCATTGAAAGCCAGGAAGGCATCCCCACTTGCTTGAATATCTGGTTGTACAACCAGATGATCATCTCATGGAAAGTAATGGACAGCATCCACCTTTGGGCTAATGCAAGCTACTTTCAAATGTATTTACTTCAATTGCTTTCTCCCAACTGTTAACACAAGTAAAGTGTGAAGATCAACTGTGTCTATGTAACATTGCCTCCCTTATGCATCTCAGCTCCTGGCATTTGTCAGATCACAAGTAAATGGGAGTGAGCAGTGCCATTCACTGTGAGAGTTAATGACATTTTTGCCGATGTCTCAACTTGTGCTAGAGCAAGTCGGGGCCAAAGCTAAGGGCTGTTGTGGCCCTTCAGCTCAGTTCAAAACATGGCACCTGCACAAATTTAATTTTTCTATAAAGAAGGGTCAAAATGAAGACAGGTTCCCCTGGATCCCTACAATTCCTGTGTGGCAGAATCTGTTTCCCAGAAAAGTGACCAGCTGGCAGTTACTCTACATATAATGATTTTTTAGTCCTTTTTTTTGTAATGGCATAATTTAAAGCAAAAGGTGATGAAATTTCTGATTCATCAAATGTCAAGCAGCACAGTTAGAAGTGATGTCAAAATTGGACTCTTCTTATCTTCCAGGAGGTCATGAGAAATCTGGTTAAGAGATACGTGGCTGCAATGATAAGAGATGCTAAAACTGAAGAGGGGTTGACCGAAGAGAATTTTAAGGTGACTGTTCTTATGTTGGACACCTTAATAACAATGAATCAAAACATTAAAGAGCTTCACGTGGTAGTGGTGGTGGGGAATAATCTAAGATATTTGCCACTGAAAGTTGAGTGCATTTACACACAAAAACGTACTTGAAATACATTGTAATGCAACAATTTTCAATTTTCACATACAGTGTCTAATATCAAATACAAAACATTAAAAATAGAAACACAGAGAGTCTGTAGGGTTTACTGGATGTAGAAGTAAACCAAGATGTAGAAGCATAGCCAGCCCATGAAATCTGGATGCCTTGTGAGGAAAACATGACAGGAATCCACACACTGTCACTTAATGATCTCATAACATAGCAGGGAAGGGTTTGTGAAAAAATCATGAGAGCTAAACTTTATGACGTCTCTTGCACCTTTCCATAGGCAGACTGTATTCACCTTGCGTGAAACAATTCACTAAGTGGGGGAGAACTTGGAATACTATAAATGGCCTCAAGTGAACTTTTATTTATTTCCCCCTTCCCCCTCCAAAACCCACACTGCATTCCCAAACCCAAGTTTCAATTCTCTCTCTCTCTTTTAAACATAATTTTTATTAAATTTTCCCATATTTCATTTAATTCAATACACATATTCACAGCTTATATTATTTGCTCAAAGTGAGCTTAGACTTCCTTCTATCTCTCTTTCTGACATCCCTATAGTCAATTCTCAGCAGCCGAAAACATTTCTGCTACTCGTAAATAGCAAGATACTTATTAAAATAGCAATTTAATGATATTCCAGCATTTATCTTGTGAACTGCCCTGAGATCATCGGATGAAGGGTGGCTATTTATTTATTTACCATTCCTTTCATGTTAAGCATAGCATTTTTCTTCTAATGTTTTAGGAGTTAAAGCAAGATATTTCCAGTTTCCGCTTTGAAGTCCTGGGTTTGTTAAAAGGAAACAAGCTGTCTAACTTACAGTCCTCAAAAGTCAGCAGAGAAGAGTCCTCTTTGCCGGAATCTGATGAAGGAAATGAAAATGGAGGAGATGAGAAAATTAGGAAGAGAAACCTTAGCCTTTTTGACATAACTTCAATGATTCACCCCAAAGCAGTGGCAAGAGCCTCTGAAGCCCACAGCCACAGCAATGGGTCAGCCATGATGACAAGAGTTTCCTCCAAGGAAAAGCAGAGGAAAGTGAATTTTGTGAGTGACGTGAAGAAGTTTGGGTTCTTTCATAGACAATCCAAAAGTGCTGAGCAAAGGACCAGTATTTACTCGATTTCTGAAGAAGTTTCCCGCCAACAAGCAGACGAATGTGAGAAAACTCCTGAAATGGGAGTAAAAGCATTGGTTGTGAACTGTGAACTCAACATTCGGGATCTCAGCGAAAGCTGTACCGCAGGCACTCATAATCAGGCCAGAAATGAGGCGCTGGACTCAAAGGTGGATGAGAAAGTTGCTGCTTCTGAAATGAAGAAGGCTAATTTGCCCACACCAAAGGATTCTCCGGACAATGAGCAGGACTTCAGTAGTAGTGACTCTGTTGTGAAACAAGAAACAATTGTTCAGGACAATTACCTGACAACAAGATTGTGATGAGCGGAGGCAGAAGCCTATAGAAACACACTTGGTGGTGGTGATGCTTAAATCAGAAAATAAAGAATCAAAGCATTCAGAGGCCACATAGCTGTAACATAGCTCAGTGAAGAAGAGGAAATGGAGGAGCCTTCTGTTTTTTAGCCTGCTTTAGCTTTCACAGCTTCTTTTACATTTTTTATTAAATGGGAGCATCTTGTATTCTTGTACTGTTGCAATAACCCACAGATACTTTTTAGCTATCTTTTTCAATTTGAAATAAATGCCATTTCTCTCCTGTGATAGTTAATTGCCTATGGTAAATATTTTTCTATGCAAATAAATGTAGCTTAACAAAGGTGAGAGCCTTTATGAACCTTTTTTTAGGATTCCTAAAAATGGACGAGAGAGAATTGTCAGTGCTTTCTGTCAAAGGGTGATAGCCAATATTACTCTATGATTAATGTCGGATATCTACTCTGACCCATTGAAAGCAACGGACAACGTAAATAAATTGATTTTGGTGGGTCTGCTCCGAATATGATTTAGCTGGCTTTACCCAAAATTATTTAACTAGTTAGAAATCTTATTTATAAATAAAATTTTAAACAGTGAAATAATTTATTGAAATTGTTAGTGCCTATAATTTACTAGTAATCATTTTGCTATTTATGTAAAATAGCGTCAATTTGTTATTTATGTATGCCCTATTAGCGACCACCATTTCCACACCTAAAAAATGTTGCAGTCGAATTTTTAAATTTGAAAACTTCAGATATAACCCTGCAGCAAAATAAAATACTAAGACTTCTTTAGTGGAAGATGCCCATACCAAAGCAACTTTGCACATGCATTTTGATGGAAAATGGGTTAATCCATCCTTAGCCTCTCCAAGCCACACACATACCCCTCGATGGTCTGGGTTGGGGGGGGGAGAGAGCATATTTTATAAAATGTCTCTGAATGATAACCTGGAAGCAGTTCTGACTCTCCACACACACTCAAGCTTGGATTAATCTGTGAGCCGTACTCTTTCGAGAAGTCTCTTTTCACTTCTGCATTCATAATCCCAGTGTATTTCACTAGCAACACAAGAGTGCTTCAGAATAATCTAATTGATGTGCTATCAAATTATGACAATCATTCAAAATCTTCTAAAGACAAATCTGAACAGAATCAGTCTCCTTTCCGAGATGTTGGTGGCCTCCTTTCTGACTCTTTGCACAATAAATACAATGGCTGGTATTCAACTAAGTTTTAGTTAGAGTAGACATATTGGAATTAATGAACATGACTGTGTTAGCCCCATTAATTTCAGTAGGTATACTCTGACTAAAACTAAGTTGAATGCCACCCGTTGGCTTTTAAATGTACAATATTATTAATCTGAGAGTATTTTCATAAACAAGTGTTTTACTGTCAGCCAAAATAATTTTTGAAATTAAACAGTCTTGTTTCTTTCTCATCAACGACTGGTGTTTTATGTTATAAAAAGACTAATATATACTACATTCATATCTGAACATCTGTTCCAGTAAATTGACCATGTGATAAAGCATGGCTGTGGTAAGGCAGAGAGCATAGACAACTGAAAGCAAAAGTTCCCTTGCAGAGTTGTAGAGTTTCCTTCCAACTTTAACATTATACCATTCTATGAGTTTCTCATTGGTTAGACATTGTGGTTAACACTTAATGCATCATACTTAATGACATCATGAGAGCCCACCCTATGACATCACTGGGGGCCGTCTCCTATGACAGTGTTTCCCAACCGGTGTTCCGTGGCACACTAGTGTGCCGCGAGATGTTGCCTGGAGGGAGGCGGGCGAGGGCGTTTGCTTCCCGGAGGACGGAGCGAGGGTGCCCCCTGCTGGGCCGGGGCTCGCTCTCCCCAGAGGGTAAATCTGGATCAAATGGGGCGAGGGGTGGGCAGAATTCTGGGGGCCACTGATGCCCTACAGACCCCCCCAAGTCCTCCGGGGCGCGCGCTCTGCTGGGCTCTTTTCGGTCGTCGTACTTGTGGGAAGCCGCCCCTTCCCTGGGCGACGCGCCGCCTCGCGACTCCAGAGTCAGTCCCGCGGGCTCTCGGAGGGACTCGCGAGCGACGGCGCGGCGGCTCCGGGGCGCGCTCAGCCGGGCCGCCGCACGCCCCCGCGCAGCCCCTGCTGCAGCTGCCCGGCGTGGAGCGCGACGCGGAGCCGGCCGGGCTTGGAGGCGCCCAGGTAGGGCCGAGCCGGGCGGGGCGGGGAGGTCTCGGTCTGCTGCGGGCGCAGGAGGGCGAGCGGGAGAGGGGGAGCCGTCGGGTCTCCTGGAAGGAAGCGAGGCGGCGGCTGAGGGGGATGCAGCCCCGTCCCCAGCAACAGGCGCTCCTCGAAGTGAGGCCACAAGTCGGGGCTCGGACAGGGCCTGGAAGCAGCGGCTCCGGCTCTTGGGAGCGGAGAAGGGGACTTCGAAAGCGGCCTGGAGGAGAAAAGCCCCGATGCAGCGAGAGCGGGGAGCGTGCTGCCTTGTCCAGGCCTCCTCGCTTTGTGCCGTCCGCTGCCGGGAGCAGGACACGGGGGCTCCTCGTTCGCATGCTTTCCCGGGTGATCGGTGAGGGCTAGGGTTAGGGTTAGGGTTAGGGTCCCTCAGTCCCTCGCTTTGCTGCCTCCTCCCCCCCCACCCCCAAAGCTTGGAGGTTCCCCGGCAAGGGGGAGGGGGAAAAATTGAAAGTTACACTTTCGTGCGTCCCTCCCGGCGTGACGCTGCGCGCTGACGTCACGGGGCTGTAATGGTGGTGTGCCTCGAGATTTTTTTCATCAAACAAGTGTGCCTTTGCCCAAAAAAGGTTGGGAAACACTGTCCTATGACATCACCAGGGGCTGCCCATAGGATTCAGGTTTAGACTCCTGATCTGGCAACCCTTCCTGAAATCTGTTCATGTAGTTCTGGTCCGCACTACACCTGAGGCAGCACCTTCTATACTGAATGTTATTATTAACCTGCTACCAGGCCCACACCACATGTAGCACGATGCTCTGTGCTGTTGTTGCAGACTCCCTCTCTTAGATGAAGGAAGGTCTTCCTCATTGGCAACGTAGCAAATGACTGTGCTTTCTGTGCCTGGGATTGCCATAGCAACACACAATGATCTGATTTTCTCATGTTAGTGGTTGGTAACAGGGCATTAGGTCTCAGCTCAAAAATACTGAGGAGACACTTCTCTTCCACCAGACATCCGGAAATACAATCCCATATAATCTAAATTGTTTTTAGAATGGGAGCACTGAAGTTTATCTCTCCATAGTTCTGATCTCTCTTGAACAAGAAGAGATTCTCAATCTGTGTCACTTGCCAGCCTCTGATAGGCGGAGTGTGTGTGTGTGTTATATGGATAATTGTTCAGAACAAAACCTAATCTTTCTTTCTTTCTTTCTTTCTTTCTTTCTTTCTTTCTTCTTTCTTTCTTTCTTTCTTTCTTTCTTTCTTTCTTTCTTTCTTTCTTTCCACCCCACCCATGTGGCTGGGTTTCCCTAGCCACTCTGGGCTGCTCCCAACAGAATATTAAAAACACAATAAAACACCAAACATTAAAAACTTCCCTAAACAGGGCAGGTAGTTGTGGGAGGGCATTCCACTACTGAGAAGGCCCTGCCTGGTTCCCTGTAACCTCGCCTCACAGTGAGGGAACCGCCAGAAGGCCCTCGGCGCTGGACCTCAGTGTCCCGGCTGAATGATGGGCGTGAAGACGCTCCTTCAGGCATACTGAGCCGAGGCTGTTTAGGGCTTTAGAGGTCAGCACGTGGGTGGCGCTGTGGTCTAAACCACTGAGCCTAGGGCTTGCTGATCAGAAGGTTGGCGGTTCGAATCCCTGCGACGGCGTGAGCTCCCGTTGCTCGGTCTCTGCTGCTGCCAACCTAGCAGTTTGAAAGCACGTCAAAGTGCAAGTAGATAAATAGGTACCGCTCCAACGGATAGGTAAACGGGGTTTCCGTGCGCTGCTCTGGTTTGCCAGAAGCAGCTTAGTCATGCTGGCCACATGACCCAGAAGTGAGATGAGCGCCGCAACCCCAGAGTCGTCCACGACTGGACCTAATGGGTCAGGGTCCCTTTACCTTTTACCAACACTTTGAATTGTGATCAGAAATGTACTGGGAGCCAATGTAGGTCTTTCAGAACCGGTGTTATGTGGTCTCGGCGGCCCCTCCCAATCACCAGTCTAGCTGCCACATTACTACACTCACAGAAATGCTACACTCAGCACACATTTAAAGTCAATGAGTGTGGTTTTGATGGGGAGCTCACTATGGGCATCATAATGTCTAGTTTTATTCCCCCCAACACCTGTACCTAGGTGCTAAGCGCCCTGTATTAAGTGGAACAGCCCCATTTGGGGGGAAGGTGCCCCCGGGCTCTGGCAGCAAGTGGGTGGGTGTGAGTGGGCAGGCAGCAGCAGCCTGGTGGGGTTTGGGGTAGAAAAAGTTGAAGTGTATGCAAGTCTAGTGCTCCCGCCTGGGATCATGTACTGTATCCTCAAAGGTTCCGTGTGAATCCACGCTAATGAAATATGTTTTTACAATGCATTTCTAAAAGACTAATTTTACATTCCCATGGTAGTGATACAGTTTTTTTCATATCCGAAAACCACATGAAGTAACAATTACAGTTCCTCTAATGGAAAAAGTGCTTTTCAGCTGTATCAGTTGCGACTGTGCTTTGTATTGAAAGGACATTGTAGTTGTTTTTCCCTCTCTCTCTCTTAATATTTTTCACAGTGTGAACAAAAATGGAATAATATGCATGTAGCTCTAAGGCGGTGAATGAATGAAACGGGCCCATTTCGCTGGAGGTGGAAGAGAAAGAGCCATGTTCTTTTGCATCCTCCCACTACACTTACTCACCCGGTTACCTGTGGAGTTGCAGATCTTGACCAACACACCTTGCAATGTGGCTCAGCAGGCTTGTCCTTTGGGGAGCTTCCAGAGTACAGAATGGCTCATACTTGCAACAAAAAAACCAAATCATCAGCACCTATTATTTAAATCCAGAGCTCATTCCTGATGGTGTTTCTTCTATATTTTGAAAAGGCTACAGGTTAGGGCGTGTTATAGAAATACAGCACTGAACTGTACCAAGGGTTTCTCTCCTTTTTAGAGAAATTGGATCCCTCCCCTGGTGGCAGTAAATGAGCAGATCAAACGAAAGGAGTGTTCTTACCAGTTAGTTTCTTTATGATCACAGCGAGAGACAAAGGAATGCATATCTCTCTAGAAATGGTGTTGCTCCCAGTTAATCCATCCCCGTTAATCTACATCACACCTATGTCGGGTAATCTGAGCTTGTTGAAGTTGCGCTCTCTGTTCTATCACTCTCAAAGCCCGTCTAGTCTTAAGAAGAAGGGTTGGGGTCAGGAATGTTGTCCAAGGACACTGAATCTGCCAGCTGTCTCCTGGTGTTTTCTCTTCTAGCTGTTCCTCACCCAGTCTTTCCCAGCTTTTCCCCTCTGGGCTATGCCCCTCTGCAAACCACTCTTCTAAATCAATACAGTGGTACCTTGGTTCTCAATCCATTCCGGAAGTCCATTCCAAAACCAAAGCATTCCAAAACCAAGGCGCACTTTCCCATAGAAAGTAATGCAAAACAGATTAATCCGTTCCAGACTTTTAAAAACAACCCCTAAAACAGCAATTCAACATGACCTTTATATTCAGCTGTTGTCCAGTCTAATGGCAGCCATCACTGAGCGGCCATTTTTTATGGCGACCGCCATTTTGAATTTCCCAGCATTCAAACGGGGCTTTTGGGGAGCAGGGGATAGTAGTCATTCTGATTCTATTCATTCTCAGAGGGATTTTGCCTCCAAAACAGCTGGTAACCAAGGGGTGAAATGGCTGAGAAATGGTCCTTGTCAGTTTGGCACAGCCGCATGTCATTCATCCTAAAACTTATAAGTGGGGTTGGGAGTTGGACTGACTCTAGGTGGCCAGAAGTGTGTTGAACCTAAAGCTTTTTCTTGAATGAGGGCCTTATCACTTCACAGACTTCAGTATCACATTACAAGTTTTGTCTCACATTTCCAGTAACCTTTTTGCTCTATTTCTCAGAACAGTTTAGCACTGCATTCAAGGTGCACTGAAGTGTTCTGGGTTTGATGAAGAAACAGATGGAGCTTTCACAGATCACAGCTCTGTGTGTTTCAATTTCCAGGAAGACCTTAATGTCTCATCATTAAGATAATCTCACCCGAACACCAGGAATCCTGCTTTTCAATGCAATATGCCCGATCCAGAAGACTATATATTGTTTTGTTTGCTTAGAGCCCATCGAAAAACCAACACCTACCCTTGACAGCTATGATAGCACAAAACTAAATCTGGCAACACCACATGTTTAGTAATGTGGTTAAAATGAAAACAATTTTTAGCAGGCCTCCTTTATTATTAGGGGTCTGGAAAGCTTCACACAAAAAGGATGATGCACACAATC